CTTCCCTCACTCCCTTTTCCTCCCCCACTCTCCTCACTTGCTCCCCCTCCCTGCTGCCGCCTCACTCACGTCCTCTCCCTGCTCCCACACCAGCTGGGGCTGGCAGGCAAGGTATCAGAGGCGAGGCAAGGTATCAGAGGCGAGGCTCGGAGGGCGGAGGTGGAGGGGGTGGTGAGAAGTCTCGCTCCCTCAGGCAGGCCCCATTCTCGTCTCTTCCCCCCTCCATCCCTCACTCCCTGCCTCGCTTGCTCTCCGTGACCCTCCCTTGTCTCTTCCCCTCTTCTCCCCCCCCCTCCTCCCTCCCCACCAGGCGGGGCTGGCAGCAAAAGCGGCGGAGGCGGAGGGGTTGAGGGCGGAGGTGGAGGGGGTGGTGAGGCGCATGGACGAGGAGAGGGCGGCCAGGGACGCTGCTCTCGCCACGCTAATGGCTGGCGCAGACGGGTGAGAGCAGATGAGCGTGCGTGGAGTGGGGTTGTACGTGAGTTGGACAAGGGTGGGGTTGGGTGGGTGCGTATGGCATGAGTGCATGGGTGGGATGGGAGCGTGGGTGGCGGCTCACACCCAGCAAAAGTCCTCCCATCTGTGAGTGGCCCTCCCACTCCCTCTTCTCGTTTCCCTCCCTCTCACCCCACACCCAGCAAAAGCCCTCCCATCTGTCCACCTCGTCTTTCACACAGCAGCAGCAGCAGCAGCAGCAGCAGGAGCGCCGCGACTGTGTCCCTGGCAGGGCGCGCTGCTGAGAGCCATGCTCACTGCGTGTGCTGCTGATAGCTATGCTCACTGCGTGTGCTGCTGACAGCTATGCTCACTGCGTGTGCTGCTGTATGTCTCCATGGTCCACCCCCCCGCCCCGTCCCCTCACTCCTCAGCTCCTCGCAAGGCACAACAGCAGCAGCACAGGCCTTCTCCCATCACCGCGGGGAGATGGCAGTGCTGACAGCCATTCTCATTGCTTCCCTTCGTATGTGTGCCTGTGGCCCATCCCCGCCCCGTCCCCTCACCCCTCAGCTCCTCGCAAGACACAGCAGCGGCGGCACGGGTGTTTTCCCAGCACAGTGGGGAGATGGCAGCGATGGCACATACAGGGGGCTGGGGAGGCACGAGTGCAGGCACGCAGTAGGGCCTGTTGCTGACAGCCATTCTCATTGCTTCCGTTCGTATGTGTGCCGCTGCCTCCTCCCCTCCCTTCCCCGTTCCAATGACCCCCTCAGCTCGTCGCAAGACACAGCAGCGGCGGCACGCGCGTTCTCCCAGCACAGCGGGGAGATGGCAGCACTGGCACAGCGGGCCCGAGAGGCAGGCGCGCAGGCAGCTGTGCTGGCAGGCCAGGGTGGGGAGGGCGCGGGCAAGAGCGCTGCAGGGGGCGCGGGGGCAGCGGGGACGCTGGCGATTGTGGCTGCTCCTGGTGCCGGGAGCGCTCTGATGAGCGCTGAAGGCGACAGGTGAGGGGCGAAGGGGGAACACAAGGGGGAGGTGAGGGGAGGTTGAAAGGGAGAGGGATGGTAAAGGATGGAGCGAAGGGTAAAGGCGAGAAGAGACAGTAGAGGGGAGAGAGGAGTGTGAAAAGGAAAGGGAGGGTATAGTGGAGAGGGAAAGGTAAAAGGATAATCTAGTCGATGGGGGAGGGAGGAGCGGGGAGAAGGGAGGGTTGATACCGTAGTTGCCTTCCTTGTATCGTGCCTACCACTCTTCAGAGTCATCTCACTCCATCGCTTCCCCTACTCCCCCTGGTCCCCCCACTCGCTCTCTTCCCATGCCTCCATGCCTCCATGAGCTTCCATAAAGGCCCCTTTGCAGTCGACGCATAGGTCACCTTCTTCCCCCTCCCCTCAGTCCCTCGCTCTCAGCGGCTTCCGCGGAGAGCCAAGTCACTTATGATCTCGCTCTCTTCCTTGGGATCCTACTGGGCCGCCTTTCCAGTCACTTATGACTCACCTTCCTTCCCCACCCCCTTCTCTCCCCTACTCCCACCCCCCCCTTTCCCTCGACTCCCCCAGTCGCTCTCTCTCCGCGGCCTCCATGGGCTCAATGGGCTCCTACTGGGGCGCCGCCCCTGCCGGCCCGCCGCAGCCCACACCGGTGGGAGGGGGCGGGTGGGGGGGGGTGCGGCGGCAGCAGAAGTGGATGGTGGACGGCTCGTGGGTGGAGAGCATGCGCCGGGTGAGTGGGGACCGGTGGAGTGGGGTGGGGTGGGATGGCGTGTGGGGTGGTATGTGGTGTTATGGGGTGTAGGGTGGGCTGGGTTGAGGGGTGAGATGGGGGTGTGGGGTGGGATGGGGGGGTGGGATGGGGTTGTGGGGTGGGATGGGGTTGTGGGGTGGGATGGGGGTGTGGGGTGTTACTGAATGAGATGGCAATGCATGGCATGTTAGTGGATGGGAAGATGCATTAAATTAAACAGGCATATCATGCTTCTTGTCATGCCATTTTGCTCATTTTGTGCATTCACCATGCAACATTAACACTACCATCCATCATTGCATTAACTGCCATGCTTTCCCATGTGACACCATCGCCATCATACCATCACGGCACCACGCCATGGCACCATCAGGAGCATGCAGAGATGCGGAAGAAGCTGGAGGAGGAGAGGCAGCGGTCGGCAGCACTGGAGCAGGTGAGGGCCGTGCTGCAAGCAGCCTTGGATGTGAGGGCCGTGCTGCAAACAGCCTTGCCCGCATGTAATGCAAGCATGCCAATACTGCTTACCTCCCGCGACTTCTCCCCCTGGCGTTGCAGTTTCCCTTCTCGTAACTCATCCTCACCCCTCACTCCATCCCCACCCCTCACTCCAACGCCAGCCATACACCAATTCATCCGTTCACATGCACACATCTCATCCCTCCCCGGCCTGCACATCTCATCTCTCCCCGGCCTGCACATCTCATCTCTCCCCGGCCCCTCACAACTCACCCCGGCCCCCACGTCTGAACCCACTCACATCTTACCACTCTCCTCGCATCTCCCCCTGCCATTGCCGCACCCGTGCCATTACGTTCCCCCACCCCTTATGTCTTATCTCTGTCCCGACCCCACACATCTTATCTCTCTCCCGACCCCACACATCTCAGCCTCACATCTCACCCCTGCCCGTGCCCCCCTGCCCGTGCCCCCCTGCCACGGCCGCAGGTGCAAGCGGAGAAGGTGTGGATGGAGGCGGCGCTGGTGCAGCTGCTGGAGTCGCGCAAGCGCTATGAGGGGGAGATAGCGCACCTCATCGCCAAGGTGCGTTGGGTTTCAGGCTGAACAAAGCAAGCACCCTTGCCTGTTCACCCGACACAACCGTCGCTGCCACGTGAAGTGAAGTCAAGTCATGGCGTCCAAGTGGTGGGCCATCTCCCCTGGGTTCGCGGAAGCGTCACGAGGGGGAGATGGCACACCTCTTCACCAAGGTGGGCTGGAAGTCGGAACTGGAGAAAGCAGAAACCCTTTCCTGGTTACTAGGTTTAACGGGCACTTTCTCTTGCAGTCAACGGCACTCAAATGATGTTAAATCCCGAAGTTCGATAGTGCTTCACCGCATTACAAAGGTTCGTTGCTCTGCAGCTCGTGTGTTATGATTTGATTTTTGAGACCTGCATTTCCATAATTGCTCACCACGTTTGTCAAAGTAACTTCTCTTCCTCCCTACCCTGACAGGAGTGGCGTGTCATGTCGCCCGCCCTCTGCTCTTACTCCTTGTCATCTTTGAGTTCTCCCTCCCATCACAAATGCATCCTTCCCTGCCACGTGTCTCACTGCAATAGGTAGCTCATCTGGAGGCCAGTGCAGCGGCCAGCTGACACTCCCATTTCATGGCTCCACTAACACTCACTCTCACAGGTACGTGCCACACTTACTCTCACAGGTACGTGCCACACTTACTCTCACAGGTACGTGCCACACTTACTCTCACAGGTACGTGCCACACTTATTCTCACAGGTGCGTGCCACACTTACTCTCACAGGTACGTGCCACACTTACTCTTACAGGTACGTGCCACACTTACTCACAGGTACATGCCACACTTACTCACAGGTACATGCCACAGTCTCTCTCACAGGTAGATACTAGACTCACTCTTTCTCTTACGGTTATTAGGTGTCACACCTGCTCACTGTTTCTAACTTCCTCTCCTCTTCGATTATGGCTAATCCCTCAGGCAGTGTAGGTTCATTAATAATATCTCCAACCATTCCTGTGGCAGATATAGGAGCTATACTCCAACATGCGGGCTGAGTTAGTTGTCGCTTCTGCTGTCACGTGGTTCTCACAGTATATTTTGTGTTATTCAGTTGATTAAATGCTGTTTGTATATTTCATGAGGATAGGTTGGCAGTTTAGCCAGTTTTGTTTTGTTTGTCCTGTGCTTCTGCACACTCTACCAGCAAATTTTCACAGCAGAGCTATTCACATCGTATGTATACTATGTTTCTAGCTATTTCACAGTCCACGAGTCCATGTTATCAATTCACAATGCTGCCATGAGAGTAGCACATTAGCCAACCTGGCATACAACCGCTGAGATTTTGTTATCATCAAGTCACAGTATGTGCTTTGGTCAATGGATTGAGGAGATGGGGGGGGGGAGGTGGGTTGGCGTGCCCGTGTAAGAGGGCTATTGGCTGTCAGCGCGTTTGCACCTCAGCCAGGCAACTTTCACTTCAGCGAGATCCAAAAGTGTCACTTTACTGTACCATGTGTTCCGATGTCTGAAAAATGGGTCACTTGTGAGTGCGTGATTAATTGTTGTGACTGAAAATTGAGAGTGGGATAGGCCAGACGAAGAGTGCGACGGGGACTAGAGGATGCGAGAAAGGATAGGTCAGAATGCGAGTGGAAATGGTGTGTGGGAGGGTGAATGGGAGTCAGTGTGAATGGTGAGAATGCGAGTGAGACTGTTCACCTGGTTTTCTTTGTTCTGAGCAGGTTTATCAATACATTATTGGAATAGAATAATCTGGAAGAAAACTGTTCTTTATTTGCAATAGTATAGCTAGGTACACAAAAAATATGTACATCAAATCCACAACACGATGCGACTCACGTCCTCGTTAATGAATTTCCTTGTACCGGGGTTGATGGCGGCGATGAAGAAGAAGGCGATGCTGGCGAGCAGCAGCGGCTCGAGCTCCCACACGGGCACGCCGATCTCGATGTTGAGCTGGGCCAGCGTGTCCCTGCCCGTGATCACCTTGCCGATCAGGCTCGCCGCAAACCCTAATTGCGCCAGCCGCCCCACGAACAGCTCGTTCGCCTTGGTGAATCCGAGCAGCGGCCCGTCCTCGCTCAGCCCCAGCGCCGCCTTGATGCTGCCGCGCTTCACGGGCGGCCCCACCGGCTCGTCGTCCACGAATCGCCCGCGGTCGCCCAGCCCGCCGATGGCGCCGAGCACGGTGAAGGCGATAAAGAAGAGCAGCAGCGGCTCGGTCTCTGTGATGGGGATGCCCGTCTCGATGTTGAGCTGCGACAGAATGCCCACGCCAGTAATCGCCTCGCCCAGCAGCGACGCCGCGAAGCCCAGCATGGCCACGGGCCCCACGAATAGCTCGTTCGCCTTGGTGAACCCGAACCCGCCCGACGTGCCGAAGATGCCGTCCTCTCTGCGCATCCTCGTCGCGGGGACGCTCTTAGCGGGGACAGCGGCTTTGCGCGAGCTGAAGAGCGCGGTGACGCCTAGTCCGCGGGGAGCTGCTAGTTGGGGAACGGCGGGGAGGCTGCGGGTGGCGAGCTCGGTGCCTCTGACGGTAGAGCTGAAGGAGAGGCCTGAGAGGACCTGGCGAGAAGCAAGTGCGGAGGCCATGGCTGTCATTTGGACCGATTAAGACGAGGAAGCGATATGCAAGAAGATAGCAGTAAATGATGAGCACGGAATGATGATCGATTATGGTAAAAGAGCATACCTGAATTTGTTTTGTGCATAGTATCAACGATGAGGGAATAGTGAATCGAGGCGCGCCATGTCGGCTGATCAAAGCTCATGCGGACAATTCGAACTGCGATCTCATTTCCAAGTGCGGGTTTGCAAATGCAATCTTTTCGGGCAGAACTATGCGGCTGTTCGTGTTTAGGGTTGGGGCTCCCCGTGTTTAGGGTTGGGGCTCCCCGAATCGAATGCCATCCAGATGGGGTTTATTTTGTTCAGACCGCGGGCAGATTAGGACCCATCAGCTTCTTCCAGGCGGACTGTTAGGGATCGCATTTGCGAACCGCGCTGGCTGAATTGGATTGCAGCTGAAGTTGTCCCAAGCTCATGTGACCCGTGTGTGGCGGTTGTTTGCTTTCATCGCAGCGCACTGCACCTGGAGCAACCTTTTGGGAAGCTGGACTGGAGATCTCTGACGTGGCTGAACCAGAAGCGCGAATTCGTAGTGAGGGACGTGGAAGTCGCTGGTGCTCTAGATGTGCTGCACCGAGAATGTTTTGACTAGTCGACGTGGTGGTGCGATGGTGGCTAAATGCTGCTGACATGGACATGAAAAGTTGCGGGTTTCGTTTGCTGGGCTACTTTTCGTGGCAAGGACACTAGTATTTCTCGCGTGTTGAATTCCGCCACATCGTCACCCGATGTAACGACTCAGCGCCATTACAAAAACTGGCATAATAACACCTATTTTGATTTTCACTAGCCCTTAACACATGCCCAACATGCAGGATCTCCACAACGGAACTCACATTAGCGTAGCATGTAGTTACCAGGGCTGAAGTGTGTGTGTGTGTGAGAGAGAGAGGCACTTAAAAAGATACGAGACGAACTGCGCGGCTGTGGCCTACGGTGCAACCTCGCTAATCGTCCGCATGGAGCCCGTCAGGGGACACAGGGTGCCTACCCGAAGGCCTGGCGACAGCGGTGGACGGATTACGGGTGCTGGGAAGCCCAGTCGGTACGAGAACGTTCTGCTAGCGCACCATCAGGGGCACACTCGAGTCAACAGCAGCAGCATTGGGGCTCATCGGGAGATTCCACCCGCAGCACGCACTGCTACTCCTCTCGCGATGCATCTCGCGCAGGATATCGTACCTCCTACGTACGACGTCGGCTCACGCACTCCCGCGCAGGGAATGGAGGGAATGGAGCGAAAGACTACTGTGGACAGCGCTCAAAACGGCCCACCTGCACACATTGAGCAAGGAGCTGGAGCAAAGCCTGGTGTGGAGGCAAGCGACGTTGCCAATCGTGCTGGGGGGTCTGGGAATCATAGAACCCCTCTCAGAAGCGCCAGCGGCATACCTGGCCTCGTTGAAGGCAGCGCAGACCCTACTCCAGCACGTGTCAGCAACGCCAAGCCACCCACTGCAGCGTGTGGCGGCACTGGTATAACCACACGGAGACGGAACCACGGGGGAGGGAGGAACAAGTATCAGGGACTTGAGGAGCAGACTTCCCGAATCGGCAAGAGAGCTACTCAATGAAACTGAACAGGGTGGAGAGGTGAAAGGCCGCCTGCAGGAACACCTCTCGAGACAGATAAACTTGGACCGGGCAGCAGCACTGGTGGGTGACACGCGGATCGACAAGCCGGGGGAGGATAATGGCCACGTCGTCCGACTCATAAGCCTGCAGGGAGTGGGAGTGGGGGATTGGCTCCATGCCATCCCCACACGGGCAGACCTCACTTTCTGGGGCAGTTTGGGATGGCTCTGGGCTTCCGGCTAGAACTGACTCTAGCGGTGACGGACAACTGCCCGTGCGGCAAGAGATGCTCTAAGATAGGGGACCGGAGCCTCCCTAACCATCTGCTAAGGTGCGCGGATGAACACACACAACAGCCTAGTCTATGCGGCATTACGGATGGCCAACGAAGCTGACTACATGACCGCACATGAAACCACGGCCTTCTTGCAAATCATTAGCCCCAAGCGGAAACCATTGTGACCGACGTTACAGTGACTGATCCAGTCCTGCAGCGCCGAGACACAAGGGCGGTGAAGCCACCAGGCTGGGCAGCAGAGGATGCGGCAAGGGGGAAAAGGGGGATGTACGAGGGACGGCCGGATTTCGCTAGGGTACTTGGCCTAGCGGTAGAGACCTATGGGGCCCTGACCCTGGACACCCAGAGGTTCCTCCGCATGCTGGGGATGCAGGCGGCCAAGAGAAAGTACAGACAGGGGAGGCTCACTATGGTAGCAGCCAAGCTCACTGCACACTACCGCCAACGTTGGTCGGTATTGCTCCAGCGTAGCCAGGCCAACACCCTGCTGGCCAAGTCCAACAGGGCGACCGAACGAGCCTTCTCCCAGGCAGCAGCCGACCCATGGGAGCCCCGCCTAGGAGATTACAAAAAGGACGTTGAGCAGGAGGAACAGGAGCAAGGGGTGTGGTCGGAGGCGGCGCGGTTGCTACCGCAGGCAGAGGGGCAGGAGCAACCGAAGGCGACACGCGAGCCGACTGATCCTCCGCCGAGCTCAGGCCGGCGCTGGTAGCTCGAGGCGGCTGGCAAGTCGGGTCCGCAACAGCAGGAGCAGAAAGCGCCACGGCAAGCGCAACCAGTGGCGGTGCGGAGGCTTCTCCAACAGCAGCAGACAACGCCGCAACCACAGGCAAGGGCGCCGACACCCCCACGGGGACAGGTGGAACCACCGGCGCAGGCGCAGGAGTGTGCGCAGGGTCAGACGCCGCAGCCGGCCCAGGGGCAGGCGCAGGAGCAGACGCCGAGGCAAGAGCGGGAGCAGGTGACGACGCGGGCGCAGGACCAGGCGCCACGCTAGGCGCAGACAACGACGCCACGACGGGAACGGGTGGCGCAGCAGGCGCGAGGACAGGGCTAGCCTGAGTCACAGATGACAGCGCAGATCGAGGTGCGGGAAGAGGCGACATCCCCACGGCTGCTGGCGCCAGGGGAGATATGGTCGGAAGGGCCATTGCTGATAATGCCATGACAAAGGGCCGCGGCGAATAAGGATAATAGTTGTCGCCTATCGATACAGGCATCGCGGGGCGGACGAGGTGGCGGACGAGGAAGGGTGTCTGGGAGGGGAGGCGGACGAGGAAGCACGCCAAGCCCTAACTCGAAGAGTTGATCGAACGAAAGCTGAGGAGGAAGCATCTGATCCTACGTTTATAGCTGAAGCGGTGGAAGAGTTCACCATGGAAGAGTCGGGGGAGTTAGAGGAAGAGGAACGGGAAGGTAGAAGTCGGGCACGCCCAGCACCAAGCCAAGCCGCCCCAAGACCAGCCACCCCGGGGGGTGAGCCTAACCGGCAGGAACCAGACACCACCGCATCAGAGACCCACCAATTTTCACCTGAGCAACTGGCCAAAGACACAGTGCGGTTCGGCAAAGTTGAATTGTGGGATCTGACTCCCCTACGCGACAGTCGTCAGCCCCCACTTTCGCGCAAACTCCCTACTGACATTCGCCCGCTTTTCGCCACTGCCCTCCTGACACCACTACTCCACCTCGCGCGTAACCCGGGGTCAGTCGCAGGTTGGCGCCTGTTACTCTTCATCCCGCAACTCACCCTTCGCCTCCCCTCAACAGAGAAGCCCGATTGGCCGGCAGTCAAGCGGCGTCTTCGCCAATTCAACAAAGGCGAATGGCAGCAGCTGTACGACTCGGCAGTTACTGCAATCACTGGACCACACCCGCCTCGTCACACGCCAGATGCTATTGGCAAACGTGCTAGGGCAGAAGGCCTCGCGCGAAAAGGAAGCCTTCGCAGAGCAATCCTCGCCCTCGAGTCAACGCCGGTCACCGACCCATCTGCAACCATCCTCGCCGCACTCAAAGCAAAACACCCCCCCAATCCACCTAGAATCATCGATTGGGACATCCCCGATACAGTCCAAGCCGCATCGATCGAAAAAGGAGACTTCAAAAAAATGTTGTGCCGTTGCGAGAACGGGGTGGGAGGGGGACCGTCTGGTATGACATTTGAACACCTGCGTGATGCATCACTCACCAACACGGGGGTTACCACTCACCTCCACGCCCTCGTCAACACCATCCTGCGAGGCAAACTGCCAGACGAGGTCTGCTCGCTACTAACAGCCAGCCGTCTCATAGATCTAGCCAAGCCCGATGGAGGCACTAGACCGATAGCGGTAGGAGAGTGTATCCTGCGATTAGCCGCAAAGTCCGCCCTCTCCACCCTCTCCCAAGAATGCCGAGCGCATTTCCTCCCGTTACAGTACTGCGTTTCCGTCCAAGGCGGTAGCGAAGCAATTATCCACGCCGCGAGAGCTTTCACGAGCGCAAACCCGGACGCGCTTATACTACAGGCGGACCTGGCGAATGCGTTTAACTCGATTAACCATGCAGCAGTGGAAAGCGCACTCCGCGACACTGATATCAAGGGTCTCCTCCCCCTCGTCAAAGCATCATATAGTCGGCCAGCCCAGTTGTTCCTCGACGCAGGGTCCGGTTGCGAGGCGCTGACCAGCGAGACAGGCGTGCGACAAGGTGATCCGCTCGGCCCGCTGCTGTTTGCCGCGGGGATCCACCCCATCCTCTCTAAAACAGCAACATCTTACCCAGGAGTTCTGTGCTTAGCATTCGCCGACGACATCACATTCCTTGGCCCGGCAGCAGAGTGTTCTGAAGCTTTCTGCCATTTCACGACAGGAGGGCCGCTACAGCTTCCTAGTGAGCTTCGTGCAGGCTCACACACTCCTCGGCCAGTTAGGGGGCCAAGCAGGGGCCACCCTGACAGGAGCACTAGACCTACCCAAAGTAGCAGACCACAGCCCGAACGATCTACAGCAATGGATCCAGGACTGCAGAAGCAGCCTCACGCAGGAGGCAAGGGATCTTATTTCAGCGGAGCATGCAAAACCCAAGGGCCAACTGCAACACCACCTTTCTCTCTTAGTCCAAGAGGGCCGGAGTGCCGCCCAGATCACCGCATCCAGGCAAATGGACCTGAACCCACTGCTGGGCCACACCCAACGCCTTATCTCCCTCACAGGCTACGAGGCAGGGGTCTGGCTCATGGCGATCCCCTACATGCCGGCGCTACGGTTATACCCCTGCCACTTCACGTTCGCCCTACAGTTCCGGTTCGGCATGCCGCTCTTTGTGCCTGTCTGCTGTGACTACAGCAAACGAGTCCCCATTCTAGATAAAGGCTGCCGAACCACTTGCTGCGGTGCGGTACTGGGCACGGCCGGACCAACACTCACGATGAGCTATGGGACGAGTGCATTCGTATGGCGCACGATGCAGGATTTGATGTGTACGAGGAGTGCACCGCCTTCAGCCCGATGGACAATAAGAAGGCCAACTTGGCCTTCAGGGATGGGAGCTCGGGGGCAGTGTGGCTGGGAGATATCACAATCACAGATCCCATCAGTAAACGGGACGAAATTGCAAGGAAGGGTAGGGGCTGGGTAGCACGGGAGGCAGAAGACAAGAAGATAGGCCTATACCTCGGCAAGGCATAGTATGCTGCGTTTGTCCCGTTGGCAGTAGAAACATACGGCTGCCCCTCCGACGAGGTGCCCACCTTCCTGAAGCTGCTGGCGGACAAAGCTGCACGGAGAATCTTCAACGCGGACCCATCTACCTATCAGGCCGCAAAGATGCTCCATCAGTTCCGCCAGCGCTGGTCGGTCGCACTCCAGAGAGCCTAGGCAGTGAGCTTTCTCACAAAGCTGAACCTGGCCGCATGAGCAGAGAACCCCCCACTGGGAGGACCACAGGGGGAGTTGAACCCGGGGGACTGTTTTTCAACGCTAGAGGCACCTTAGAAGGAAAAAGGGGGGGGCGGGGGGGGGGGGGAGGGGGAGGGGAGGGTAGAAGTATGTGCTCACTTGGTCTCGTGCTCTGTAGGTTCTGTTTGCTTGTCTTTGTTTGCTTGTCTACGTGCTAGATGTGCCCTTCCCTAGAACCTGCATGTCTGTACCAGCCCCTACTATCAATACAAAGGACCGTTTGAGAGGGAGAGAGAGAGAGAGAGAGAGAGAGAGAGAGAGAGAGAGAGAGAGAGAGAGAGAGAGAGAGAGAGAGAGAGAGAGAGAGAGGCACCTAGGGACTTAGCCTCTCAAGCCTCCCCTAGCCTCCCTAGTCCTAGTATAAAGGCCTCAGCAGGCCTTGTTGCCTCTTCATTATTCAGTTTTTGGTTGGGTTTCTCTCCTAACCGAGCCTCTCGCGCCGGCCGCCTTCGGCGGCCGACGCTCGACAGCGCGGCCTTCGGCCGCGCGTGAGGGGTGGCAAGAAACACACAAAACAAGCAACTATAGGCACACATACACACATGGCACACACCACTCTAGCCTAGGTGAAGCATGGAGCAAGAGGAGCCCGCATCTACACGCGGTGAGCTCCCGGGGCACGCGGACGCTAGACCTGATCCGCATCAAACACAGCAAGCAGCCCTGACAGCGTGCGATGCAACTCACGCACCAACACCGTGCCTGCGGCGATCGCCCCGGATCCAGTCCCTGCATGCAACAACCGCCGCAGCCCACGCACAGCAGAACCAAGGGGCCCGACCCCCGCAAGCCCACCCGGCGCGGGCGCAGCCAACACGGGCGCTAGCAGCTCGGCGAGGCGATCAGCTGCCGCGAAACAATCGTCCCGAGGGCCGCCCACCAGTGAGTCGCCCTGGGACAGGGCGGCATGACCATACACCTGCACCAGATGCACGAACCGCAGCGCCTCCGAGAGGCGCCAGATCTGACCAAGGGTCACCTCCGGAACCGCGACCGGACGCTGAGGCCCCAGAAGGGCTGAGAACGAGTACGCCGCACCCGTGGATGGGGGAGCGGGATCAACGGGCTGCACGGACGGATAATGCGCAGCCACGGGGACATGAGGAGGAGGAACGTTTGCAGGAGGACGAGGGGCTGCCAGGGCAGGAGGTGCTGCTGGAGGAGGTGCCGCGGGGGACTGAGCAACACGCGGGGAGTTGCTGTGGCTCGCCTGCCCGTTCCGCTCCTCGCGCACAGCAGCAGACACCGCGCGCTGCAGATCAGCCATCGTCACCGGCTGATCAGACCCCCAGCCGCCATCCCGCTGACGCGGCCCCCACCAGCCGCCTCGGCCGCCGCGTTGCGCCGCCTAGTTCGCCTGAGAACCGCAGCGCCGCGGAGAATTGTGGCGGCGCCGGGACGTCGCGCGTACGTCCTGACGCGCTGGGGATTGCGGCCGCTGCTGACGACGGCCAGGAGACTGCGGACGCCGGGCGGTCGGCGCAGAGGGATTCGCCACCAGTGGCGCACCAGGAACGGCCACAGACGGCGCAAACGGACCCGCCTCGGGCGGAGCAGGCGGAGCAACACCCGGCTGGGCAACGGGAGCATCAGCAGGCAGCACGAGAGGAGCCCCCGCAGACGGTGCAGAGGGCACAATCGCGGGAGGCGCAGAGGGAACAGCCACGGCCAGCGCAGGAACAGATCCCGCCTGCACAGGCAGAGGAGGCGCCTGCGTCGGAGGCGGCGCAGACGGGGGAGCCGGAGAGGCGGGAAGCGCCGGCTGGCCCTGGACGTCAGTGGTGGCGGACCCCTCCGGCTGGTCAGTCACGCCGCCAGCAACAACCGCCTGCGCGGCGGCCGCTGACGGAACAGCAGGGTCGGCAGCTCGAGGAACGACTGATAGAGCAGATACATCAAACGACGCCGCGAGGGGAACAGGCGGCTCGACAGGAAGAGACGCCAAGGCCTCTTGAAACGACGGTGCGGGGCGAGGAAGGATTTCAGCGTCTACTGTCACGAGCCTCGGAAAAGGCAGCGTTGGGGAGCCCGTCGGCATGGTCCCCGTTCCGGAGGCAGGCGGTGGCTTTCCGAACGCAACCGACGCAACGCCAACGTGCATTGGCGAATAATCGGTCGGCCCAGCAATCACCATCGCAAGGCCGAGGAGGGCGAGGCAGAGGGAGAGTGACGGCTAGCGGCGCAGGGGGTGGACCGGAGAATGGCTTCCA